ACATTTGACTTTGAATAAATAATATTGACCTTTGACTAGTATAAAATGTGGTGTAACAGTGTAGGTGAAGATGAAGGATTCTTGTATTATCTTTTACCTCATCAGGTACAGGATTTTGAGAGCCAAAAGCTTCTTTGTAGAAAAACTGAATGAGGTTTTGAGGTTGTTGATTGAATGGAAGAGGAGGGAGGATAACCTCACAGATACTGCTCAGTGTTTCAATATCTTATACAGGAAACCAATGACTGTATTTGGATTCTCTATTTCCACCTTTTAGTAACGAATGACACTCTCTACTTATGGATCTTTTACATGTACATCAGAAATTACATAATGAATTACATAATGTCATATGACATTCTATCATTTGTCAGTTTAAACACAGTCAATTTCTTCATCTAATCTTTTTTATCCACATCATATTATGTAATCTCTTATATGCAATTTTGATGTACAAGTAGCAAAATCTCTCTGTCCATTCTCTCTCTAGTTTGAATATGGCATAAAATAGTAAGGTCAATTCTCTAAATGGTCACTGAATTTGCCAAAGGTTCCCCCGGGATCATTGAACTTCAAACCTAGGTGATCACTGAACTTTGCAAATCACAGACCCCATTTATACTGACTTAACGTCGTTGCAAAATCAAACGATTTTGGTAACGTGTCAAACGGAGCAAGTGACTTGGCGCGTTTGTATATAATTTGTTGGCCAAGTAAGCAAATTGCTAATGAGGTGTACAACTTCTAAAAAATTGAGTGACTGCATAGGGACCTTTGACAAAGTTCAGTGACCCCGTGGGAACCTTTGACAAAGTTCAATGACTCTGCGAGAAACTTTGGAAAAGTTTGATGATTATTTGGGAAAAATTGTATGTTTTAAGAGATTAATCTATTTCTAAAATCGATGCAACTATTCAAATGGACATGATTCAATGAGCATAAATATTAGGACACGGACTATAAAAATTTAAGAAAAGAACCCTTAGGTAATAATTCAACACACATAAGGTACAAAAGGTAAGAAGCCAATTGAGTCATCAGTCTCCATAATATATAATCTTCAATTCGCCTCCGTAGGTCAAATTTCTTTTTTTTCTAAGATAACCTGAAAGCATGATGGACAAATCTTTGAAATTCACATATCATTAATTAGAAACATTTAGACGCACAATCTCATAAAGTTCTCACTTACTCTCTCAAGCCAACATGCGGACCTTGTATCTATACTAATTTATGAGTGCTCTATCTTTAGACAAAATAATTTAACCTGTTGAGTCAAATAGAAGATTATATATCATGGAGAAGGGTGACTCAATTGGCTTTAATCTTTTGTACCTTATGTGTGTG